GCGTGGTCGCCTTGGTGGCTCATTGTAACAACCAATCACAGCGCTCGACAAGAAAGGGACAGATAGGACACTCGGCATCCATCTCTCTCTTGACTTCTATCACTTCCACTTACAGGTAGTATATATCCCTTGTTCCCTCTATTCTTATATCTCTATGAGTTCAGCGGTGCAGCGAAAACTCACCCGGAGCGTCTACTATATATAATACTATACAAATTGAACTTAATTATATTTTATGAAGGTACGTTGAGAAAAAATAAATTGGTAAGAAATTAATATCTTTAAACAAATTGTTACTTTTTATTACATGATGTTTTATTTGATTTAATATTCAAGTAATGACAATTCATTTACAGTGTAGCTGAAATTATACAAATAGTATGTACTTGATATAAATAAAGGAGAATATTTTTGTGAAATGTTTACTACAAACTATAATCTTACTAAAGGTGATTCTGATTTAACATTACTCCTCTGATATTTCCAACGATTCTCACAAGTACACACACCGTACAAAGTATAGTAGTTTACACTGTCTCTCGAAAGAGAAAACATCAAAAAGAAAACAAGTCAAAGCGTCACAAAGAAAAAAACAAAAGGAAACATTTCGAAGAGATATAATCTTTGTTTCAAACATGTTACACTTATTTGTAACGATGAAAATATTATGATATGTGGTATTACAAATTGAGCTGAAGTATATTTTATGAAGAAACGTCGAGAAAAAAAATTGATATGAAAGTAATATCTTTAAACAAATTGTTACTTTTACTGCAGGTTTTATTTACTTTAATATTCCAATAATGACAGATGATTTGCAACGAATTTGAAATTATAAAAGTAGTACGTATTACATATAAATAGAGGTGAATATTTCTGTGAAACTTTTACTACAAACTGTAATCTTTCTTAATATCTTTTGATAGGGTTCTCACAAGTCAAGACATTATCTTCTAACACCATACAAGTTACCTCTGGCGCAGCAGATTTGTTGTGATTTGTAACAATCAATTTCTTCACATTGAACATTCTATGCGGTGCCTCTCCAATCCTCTCACAGTAATTTTTTCACAGCCTGAGATGCCAAATTACTCCGGAAGATCTACTGATATTTTTTTCAAAGTCGTAGTCGTCGATATTTTTGCCATACTTAATGCTAAGCCACTTGAAATTTATGAGATTACACGGGTTACTCAGACCTTCGTAATGCACATCAAACCTAATGACATCGATTGCTTGGAGAATATAGTATGAATTATTTGCATCGGGTAAGTCGGAAGTACCATCCTTATTTGAATCTATCCAAAAATTGGAAGCTTTGAACCTCACTTTGCTTCTGCGAAGTGCAATAAAGTTACATACCGGCCCCGGGAAACGTACCGATCCCAGGAAGCATATCGACTCTGGTTACTTACCGCTCTCCGGAAACTTATCGACTCTGGTAACTTACCGCTCTCCGGAAACTTTTCGACCTCAAGAAATTTAACTTATCCACTATTGATCAGTTGTCATTGTGTTATCCATTCTTACCGACAAAGCTGACATATAAAAATTCTAACATTGAACGGCAGTGTCGCTCTCTCATGTTGACATTTATTGAGCTTCCTCATTTGTTACAGACATTGTGTGAGAGAGTAGCTGCATCACGAAAATCGTGAAAAACACAAAACTGTCTATAAACTAGACACGTGTAATGTAGCAGTATATTAACAGAGGATGGTAATTATTTAGTTTAGCTACGCCAGCATAAATATGGATGAAATTATACGACGCGTTTTTGCATAAAATAAAAAAATCTGGCAGAAAAAAGTGTTGCTCTGCCCCGCGAAGCGTGTTATTCCATCGTCAAAATTGACGACTTGACAAGTTAGGAAACGTGTCATACAGACGAAATGTTACGATATGAGCACGCTTCGTGGTATTAAATAAATATAAGTATTACATCTTCGCCTTACTGAAGTGTGTACAATGAGTATGTTTTACGCTAAAATAAAAAGCAGTGAAAATTAGCAAAGGCCCTTACGCAAGTTATGTTTTTAACTTAGAATTTACTTATTTAAAATTTAAAATTTTAAATTAACTTATTTAAAATTTCGTTATCTAAATTTTTAATTATTCCATTAATTTTTATATTAGTTTCTATTTAGCAGGCATACCTTGCGTAGGTCTATGCTAATATTTACTGTTTCTAATTTAATATAAGATGGACGCATATTTGCCGTTTTTCCACAAGAATTGAAAGTTTATTGGCTGCAGCGTCGCTTCTTGCTGTGCGGCAAGCATATCTGCGTCCTGTGAACAGAAGCCATTAATCTGCACACTGTGTATACTCTTAAACGCAGCGTTAGTGGATTTAATGAAATCTGTAGTAATACTGCGCTTCGATTGGTACAGTACATTACCAGAAAAGTCCGTCACAAAAACAAGCACGATGCGTTGGGAATTTTAAGGGGGTAGTCTGGTGTAGAACGCAAAAAACAAGCACTTTTTTGAGATTTTTTATTGACAAAATTACTGAATATTTTTTTTTTGCAATTAATATAGTTTATTGTACATATATTGAAGAGTAGGAATTAATTTTTTCTTCTATTTATCTCAATAATTGACCAAGTGACAGCACGTATACGAAAGCGCCTTTGAAAATTCTTCCCAAACGGCGTGCAGTCTAACACCTCGTAAAATCATCTAAATAAAAAAAAAATTTTTTTTGTCAACTATATGAATGTAGTTTCTAGTTATACCGAAGAAACATTAAAAAACATTAAAAAAAAAAGAAATTACAAAATTTTCAACTTAAAACTAAATTTTCGTTTTTGGCCTAAATTTTGCGCGTAATATTGTTTATAACTTTTTATAAACAATTGTTTTAGTTCTAATTGTCGGTATAACTATAAGACAATTCAATTATCTTTAATTAAAAAAAAAATCATTGATATCTCAAAAATTGTTTGAGTTATACTGCACGCCAATTTCAAAAACATAGTTTAGAGATAAACGTGTTTAAAGTTTTCGAACAAGAAAAAAGGTTGATAAACTATTTTTTTTTATTTACCTCAACTTTATTATCAATCAGCTATCCCTAGACCATACAAAAGACCTTCTACCTCCTCATAAAGTTCATTTTGTTGTAGTTATTGTTCTTTGTGCAGCAAACCGATTTTCCTATTAGCGCTTTTACTTCGACGATTCTAAGAAGTGACTCTACTTTGATTAACTTTATCAGAAAAATTTCTGCAAGTCGTTCCAATTATAATGCCAACTTCTGACATGATTCCTAGCAATGACAAGTAACTTTCATTAAACATAGTTGCTGCTAAATAGGCCGCGATTTCGATAATCTTTCGTCCACAATGTAGATGCTTAGGGGCTAGTCGCCAAATGAGCGAGTTAAAGCTTTCATTGGCATTTTGAGTGAAGCCGCCTAAACATCTTTCAAGTAAATCTTTTCTCGATAAGTCTTTGTATATAGGTAATATATTCTCAGCTACAACTGGATGTAAAGGCTCTGGGTGAGTGTGTGGAACTCCTAGACTTTCGGCGCGTCGAAATTTACACCAAGAATCTTCAGCAGGAGGACAATTTTCATGTTTTGGTTTCTTATCAGTCGATATACTATGCAAATATGTGGCCATTATATGTCTTTGTATATTTTCTACAGATTCTGGATTTCTCATTATTGCGAGGCCGTAGTATTTTGTAATCTTTTTTATCAAGGTGTCAGTTAGCTTACCCTTGCCACCAAGTTTTTTTTCTTTTTTGACATTTTGACATTGATGTATATAATGCTTACAAGATTACCAACAGACTACAAGAGTTCCTAAAGGCATTTTAAAACTCTCGTGAGCACTGTGGCTCTGGGGCCTCTGGGAACGCTTACGCATGCGTACTTAGCGAGCTTGTTTCTACCTGCAAAATTTTGAATTTATTTTTGGGACTTCGGAAACATTTTCTAGAGGTGAAAAATTATCGATTAAGTAAAAAAAAAAATCGATTTTTTGAAGTTGCTACACCAAGCTACCCCCTTAAGGACGCATCACTGGGTGCGTTCGAGGAGACACTTGAGGAGCGCTACGCGACATTCTGTCCTTGTTGTACATGTAAAGAATAACAAAGATAGAATTTTACGTAGCATTAAATATCGTCTCCCCGAACGCACCCTTAGCTACTGTCTGTCTCGGCAGGAGGTCGTCCGTCAAAAACAAAGGCACGCTACACATACATACATAGTGTTCCTTACTGTTTGTTACTTAGGGTAGGCTCCATTTAATGCTCGCAAGCGTCGTTTCGCTTGGATATTAAACAACAGACAGAACGATGCCCGTTGCGAGCTTTGTAAGTGGAACTTACTTATAGTTCGATGAAAACGAGTGGTTAGAGAATCAGTGAAAGTTAGGTTAGCTAAGACCACGTGACCTTTGGATAAACAGCGCATGCACACCATAAAATAATCGAGTCGCGGGGTCGCATCCGACCCCAACCTTACCGTTGGAGGGTTAACTCTATTCGCGTTGAATTGGAATTTAATTTATCCACCTTCTAGAGAGAAAATTTGAAAAGGTAAGCTGACATGTTCATACGTACATTGGTCTGTTTCTAAAAATTATTATTAATTTCCATAATATATGATTAACCTAATTTGCATATGTGAATATAGTTTGTTTACAAGCGCGCTTGAAATTTGCAAAAAAGAAGGATATTGATCGGTTTGACGTAACGTTTAACATATTACGATATCTTTTCTAAAGATGGCATCCGAAGACGCGAATCGTCATACAATAGTAGCCTCGTCGGAAGAAAGTGGGCAACCTGTTACCAGTACCTTGCAACAGGATGGTAATGGCAGAGATCAAAATGCAACTACCAGGCAGCATAATCCAGGAAATCGACAAAATAATCTACAGAGGATACAGCAACGCAAGCAACAAATGTTCAATTTGCCTCGGATGAAAAAACTACTGAAGCTTGCAACTTATAGCGCTTGTCAAGTGGAAGAGTGCAAGTGCACTAGCTGGAAAAATGCTCAACCATTCGCAAAACCGCAAAAGGGCGAGACACAGCAGCCTGTGATTAACTTCTTTGATCCGTGTAAGATGTGTAGTCATACTCTCGAAAGCCATATTACGCATCTAACTTCTCAGCCCGAAGAAGAAATCAACAGATTGCTGGGAATGGCTATTGATGCTGACAATATATTTATGAGTATACACAGAGAAGAAGATATTGACACTAAGAAAGTATATTATTATTTATACAAATTATTAAGGAAATGTATTATGTCTATGACAAAACCAGTTGTGGAAGGTCCGTTGGGACAACCGCCGTTTGAAAGACCTAGCATAGCAAAAGCCGTGATGAATTTCGTCTTGCATAAATTTAGCCATTTGTCACCGAGAGAATGGCAAGGTATGTGTGACATGGCGAAAATGTTTTTGCACTGCCTGAATCACTGGAACTTCGAAGCGCCCAGTGCTAGACGAACGACAGTCAATACGGAAGAAGCTCCGGCTTACAAAGTTAATTATACCCGTTGGCTTGTCTTCTGCCATGTGCCTGCATTTTGCGACTCCCTGACTCATCACGATACTCCGCTAGCCTTTGGAAAGACTCTGCTGCAAGCCGTATTTAGGCCAGTATGCAGACAATTAATGGACAAATGCCACAGCGAAAGAGATAAAATAGCACCAGAGAAGAGACTTTTGGTTTTGACGCATTTCCCGAAGTATGTCCCAAAATTTTTTCTCTCCTTGTATCTCCCTCGAGTATTACAGTTGAATCTGTCATGTTCAAGGTTCCTCTCAATGTTGGACGAAGAGATTTATTCCGATAACTCGCCCATTTGGAATCCTGATTTTAAACAAGCACCACCTTCTCATCTGCAAGCTGCCTTGGAATCAAAGGGCCACCAAGCGAGGAAGGCGGGAGAATTTGAGAAAGTTACAGTAATACCGAATGAAAAAGATAACTTTACAACGATAAATATCTGTCCTGGAATGAAAAAACTTCAGGAGAAGCGTCTCAACGCGGAAGGACGACCCGACGCGAAGAAGCGGAAAATCGATGATAATTTTGAAGATCTGCCGGACGATACCATCGCTGAGATTGTGGCATCTATCAACGATACCGATTACATGTCTGGTTCCGATGCGGTATTCCCGCCAAACGTTCCACGAGACGAAACCGCCAAAATGGAAGAGAGTAAAAAGATCATAGAGTTTCACGTAGTTGGAAACAGCCTTACGCGACCGGTGTCTAAGCAGACTATGCTCTGGCTGATAGGGTTGCAGGATGTGTTCAGTCATCAATTACCTAAAACACCCAAAGAGTATATAACGCAGCTCGTGTTTGATCCGTGAGTAATGTTCCAAATATCGTTGCATAAAATATGATCTTTTCTTTCAGTAATCTTGTGTTGTTTATCATACAGCAAGCATAAGACGCTAGCCTTGATAAAGGATGGTCGACCGATCGGTGGTATTTGTTTCTGTATGTTTCCGAGCCAGGGTTTCACGGAGATAGTGTTTTGCGCGGTGACGAGTCACGAGCAAGTAAAAGGCTATGGGACACATTTAATGAATATGCTGAAGGATTATCATATCAAGAACAATATATTGCATTTTCTCACGTTTGCGGACGATTTCGCTATCGGATACTTTAGAAAACAAGGATTTAGCAACGACATTAAGCTGCCGAAGTCGGTTTACAACGGATATATCAAGTACTATGTGAGCGCGATGTTGATGCATTGCGAGCTGAACGCGAGGATCGTGTACACCGAATTCACGGCGGTCATCAGGAAGCAAAAGGAAATCGTGAAGAAGCTGATTCACCAGAAGCAGCAGGAAATACCGAAGGTGCATCCTGGATTGACGTGTTTCAAGGAGGGCGTGAGAGGTATTCCCATCGAATCTATCCCAGGGATTCATGAGACCGGATGGAAGAGTTCCTCTCAAACTAGAACACGAGGTGTGACGAAAGGGATGCAGGGTTCAGAAACATTGGACCCGAGCCTGGAGACGGCGGATTCTCTCTATAACTCCTTGCACGGTGTTCTCAACGGTGTCAAGAAGCACAGCGCGGCTTGGCCCTTTCTGAAACCTGTGGACAAGAACGATGTTCCAGATTACTATGATCATATAAAGTATCCTATGGGTGAGTTCGCGATAAATTGAAATCTCGCGTACGGTTTCATAAAATGGGGAGCTAAGGATGTTTGTATTACAGATCTCAAGACCATGTACGATCGCCTGAACACGAAATACTATGTAACCAAGAAACTATTTATAGCGGACATGATGCGGATCTTTACAAACTGTAGATTGTACAATAGTCCTGGCACTGAGTATTACCGCTGTGCCAATGCCTTGGAGAAATGCTTTCAAAAGCGGATGAAGGAGGCCGGTCTCTGGGATAAGTAGAACTTTCTTAATGATAATCGACACTTCCTAATTTATTCTCACTACTCCAACTATTTTATAAAGAACATATTCGTACATACCGACATAATACTGCTTTTTGTGCAGTATTTGTACAAAGATGAGACGATGATTGGCTGCGCGGAAGTGCACGTCGGAATCATTAAAATCGAGCGAAAGAATAATTTTCCCTTTTAGACAGACTGTTAAGTCCCTCTTGGTCGAAAGTTTTTTTTTTTTTTTTTTATACACTAATTTTTCAAGATTGCTGTAGTTGACAATTGTGCGATCATGTTTTTTTTTTCTTCCCCCTCCCCCCCCCCCCCCCC